TTTGAAACAAACAAATTAATATATTTTTCCTAGTGATTAATTTGGACAAATTATGTGACCAAAAAACTCCATCAATTTGTTCGGTCATAATACTTGACCGAACTAGGGAAAGCATTATTTCGATCAAGCATTATGACCGAAATAAGCTCAAAAATAACAGACCCCCGATTTCTTTTTGGAGAAATTGGCGGAAAGTATCAACATCCCTATACATATTACTTTGGTCAAAATGCTTGACTGAATAAATATGGGAAAAAAAAAGCTGAACTAAACTGACATGAAGGATGGCACGGTTGTGTACTTGGAATTTTTTGGTCAAATTAATTGACTGAAATAATTGGCTTTTTTGCTGTTTTGGTCAAAAGTTCTGACTAGCATGGAAATTTTCGTTTCTGTGAGAAATCTGATTTGTAGATTTGAGATCGGATTCTCCCATTTCCCATTGCATTTTCGAGGCAAAAACCCACAGATTGCTCTTCAACTTTTCAAGTGTGTGGAACTTTACTCCTCACCTTATAATATGTGATTTTATACCCTCCTGATATTCGAGTTTATGATTTTATACCTTCATGATATTCAAGTTTATGATGTCATACCCTCCTAAAGTTGTAAGGTGAAGGGTAAAATTCCAAACACTCGAATACCAGAAAGGTATAAAATCACATCTTATAAGGTGAGGGGTAAAGTTCCACAGACTTAAAAAGTTGAAGGGCAATCTGTGGGGTTTTGTGGCATTTTCAGTAGTATTTTTAGTTGAAATAAGTAGATATTTTCAATTTTCTCACAAAACCTGTGCTTCTTCCTAGTCATATGGTCTTCTCTAAACTTTCTCGATAAGTCTTGGCTGGAACCAAAGACTAATTAAGAGCTGCTACTACTTGTTGTGGCCAATATTTAGTAGTTTTTAGGACTTTTGAGCTAAGGAAGGTATGAGTACCCACAATCTTCCTCTTTTTTCATTTTACTTTCTTTTATTTGACCTTTTTTTAATTAATTGTTGGCAGTAATTTAATTTCAAATACAATATTGATTGATTACTACCAATTGTGTTTCACCACCTTGTGTCCCGATCTATTATTATATCTTGTTAACTTGGGTTGAGGTTAATTAAATTTTATGTTTTAATTTTTAGAAAATATAATTTATATTTAATCACAAGATTTTAATGTATTTAAATGTGCTATTTGTTCTTTTATCATAATTTTCTTTTATCATAGTTTTCATTTCCATTAGTATGGTTTTTACTTTTTTGATTGATTAATTGATTTTATTTCCACTTAGTTAAGGTGCCTAAATTTTTCATTTCTGGTGCATCTGTCCCACTCAAATAAGTAATTTCTCTTTCATTTTTATGAATTAGAAGTCTGCCAAACTACAATTATGTTGTATAAATTTTTTCCTTTATTTTTTTTAGAAATTTAGTTTAGAAAGAAATAAAAAAATTTATGATTAGTAATTGGTAATGTATGATTAAATAAATCAAATAATTTATCATAAAACAATGATTTTATTATTCAATTGATTGATAAATATTGATTACTTTAATTAATTGATTGATTGTGTCACGCCCCAGAACCCAAATCCGGGGACGTGCCAGACGCCGTGCACTCGTGAGACGGGTCCCACAAGTGCACAAGGCTCGGAACTTATTCAAATCACAAAATCTCAAGAATAAAATCTACCTTACAAAAGGATGATAAAATCTAAAACTTATATCCAATTAGAATGGTTAGCCTTCTACCTCGTCACTCCCCTTGGTTTCCCCGTCCTCGATTTCGCTTCCTGAAATGGTGGACAAGGAGAAACTATGAGATAACTCAGTAAGTAAATATGGATAGCCCTTGATAAAAATTTAAGCATGCCAGATAAACAGTTTAACATAACCAAAACGTTCAATGATAAACCGTTAATGCCTAATAAAACTTCTCAGTAGTCTCAACTATAAATCATGGCCAGTGTTTAACAAACTCCCACTGGCAGGCGTCAGTAATGGTACCAGTGTTTAACAAACTCCCACTGGCAGGCGTCAGTAATAACCAATGTTTAACCCCATTGGCAGAGTTACAGAAGTATCAGTGTTTAACAAACTCCCACTGGCAGGCGTCAGTAATGGTACCAGTGTTTAACAAACTCCCACTGGCAGGCGTCAGTAATGGTACCAGTGTTTAACAAACTCCCACTGGTAGGCGTCAGTAATGGTACCAGTGTTTAACAAACTCCCACTGGCAGGCGTCAGTAATTACCAATGTATTATCCCATGGGTAGGATTACAAAATGGATCGGTCATATCAGTAAACATGTCGACATGTGCCAACGTTTACAAACTCCCGCTGGCAGGCGTTAGTAATCATGACTATATCAGAGACAAAACCATGCAAGATTTACAGAAAAATCCGTAATTCACAATCAATCTCAAATTTCAGAATAAACCGGAAAATTTCCATGTGAGCATGGATTTAACAGAAAACTCAGAATTTACAAAATTCTCGGTTCATCAAAACAGTTCAGTCGATTCCAAATAGGCATGCTCTACTCAATGCAAATGAAAACAATTTCATGTGGGCATGCTCAACTCCAGAAAAAACAATGAAATTCTCATTTTCATTCCAATCATGCTCAATTCCAGGAAAACAATGAAATTCTCATTTTCATTCCAATCATGCTCAATTTCAGAAAATAATAATTTTCATAAAAATCATCACAATTTTCATTTCAGTTTAATCACACTCAGATGCTGATAAAATCAATTTAAACCTTGCCACCATCTCAAAAGCAATTTAAAACATACTTTAAAATCGAAGGGCTTTACCATAATTTACTTACCTTAATCGCACAGAACAGAAGGCTTAACCCAAGTGCTACGGTGACAGAATGATCAAAACCTAATCACAATATTCCAAAGTTAATACCGTGCTACCACAAATTCACAGTGAAATCATCATTAGGACTACCCCTAATCACGATGCTATTTTTATCAGTTTTATCAGTCTCCACATGATCAGACATCTCCAAATTTGTTCTTATATTACAAACTAAACATTTAAATCCCCATTAATCGTTAACCATTAGTGCGTGAACAGTACCCATAAACAGTAACTTCTCTTCCAAAAATTGGCAAAACAATAACTAATCTCATGGGATTTTTCTCCAAATTCATAACAACCCAATTCAAGCTAATTTACACTTGAACCAAGCTTAAAAACATAGCTTAAGCTACCAAAATTTCCCCATTTCTCACAGGCAGGAGAGCATGGCTTTGGCAAACCACAAGTCACACACACGGGATTTTCCTACACAACATCACAACAGCCGAATCAAGCCATTTCTACATGAATTTAAGCTAAAATTATAGACTTAAATGGCTGCCGAATTTCTTCCTATTTGCACAGAATTTTCGGACAATCATAGAGCATCAACTAAATGGACAAAACCCAGCAATTAAATGGGTAATTTCGGACTTAATGGGGCTGTCAACATACCAGAATTTTCAGCCAGCGGAAACCGAGCTTGGCTGGTGAGGAAGCCGACGGGATCCTAGAGGGACTCACGGCAAACTCCAGAAATTCAAGAACCAACAACAAAAATTAGAGTAACCCAAGCCAAATTAAGAGAGAGAGGATGAGTTTCATGGTTGTGGCTTACCCGAAAAAGCCCAGAAATTCGCACCCAGCAGAACCCGACGGACAGGGGAGGAAGAGACACCGAGCAAATCTAGGATTTTCTTGGGTTTAATAGGTGTTCTAGAACAAGAAAAGAAGGAGAAATCCTCAAGTTTTTACTGGTGTTCCCGGCCGGAAATGGGTGGCGGTAGCTGGGGGGGCTCGTCGAGTTGCAGAGGGTCGGGAGGAAGAGGACCAGAAACACGCGGGTCTGATGAGGAAGAAAAGAAAGAAAGAAAAAAAAAAGAAAAAGGAAAGCTGGTGATCCTTATCTCATTTTTTTTCTTTTTAGTCTCTGAACTTTGAAAATTTTGCTATTAAACCCAAAACAATATTTCTTTCACACATAAGTCCCTAATTTAATGCTAAAGTTCCACCAAATTTTGGGATATTACAGATTGATTAGAGAATTATAATTATATGCCTTAATGGTCAAGTAAACTTTGATTAATTAAATTATTTGATTGCTAAAAAAGTATAATTAATTAGAATGATTATAACTAATTGATTAATAATTCATAATTACATACTTAATTGCTAAGTAAACTATAATTAATTTAATAACTTAATTGATTATAAAATTATGATTTTATTATTTACTTGGATGATAAATAATGATTTTTTATTTAATTAATTGATTGATTAGAGAATTATGATTATATGCTTTAATTGTTAAGTAAATTATAATTAATTAAATTGTTTAACTAATAAAAAATTATAATTAATTATAATGATTATAATTTATGATTAATTTAATCATAATGACATTTAATTGCGAAGTAAACTATAATTAATTTAATTAATTAATTGATTATAAAATTACTATGTACTAAATGGACAGTCAAGACTACTTTTAGAGCAAAATGGACAATAAAGATTACTTTGACAGCCAAATGAACAGTCAATCATATTTTGACAGCTAATATGATGGTATAATTTCTTTTTCCTTTTCTTTTTCCTTCTCTCCCATAATTTTTTATTTTATGTTGGTGCATACCATTTACTGACATATTATTTAATTTTATGTTAATTTACATAGGAATTGTTGATGATACTCCTGAATCATTATGGGATTGTCCATCTCGAAGTCCTCCAAGGAAGAAGTTGACAAAAGCAAGGAATCATATAGCAATACCCCAAGACATTCCATCGCCTAAAAAAGAAGACAACGTTGCCTGTCAAATATGTGATATTCCTAGACATTTAGCAACTATATGCTCGCACCAATATGCAGTAACTTGTCAACTATGTAATCGTGAGGGTTATATTGCAAAAGTTTGCCCAAATTGTTACCGATCAGAAATTGTGTCAAACCCATCCAAAACACCAGCTGAGTCCTCTAAAACTATTACAAAGATTTTAGGTAATGGTCGTTGGCGTCTTACATGTACAAAAAAGTCTTGGGATGAGGCATATGAAAATTTCGTTCTATTTAAGAACCGTAGTATATTTACCTTACTTAACTATATTTTGCAACATATTTTCTAATTTTCCTTATCCATGTATGAGATTAGGACATAGCACTTTAATTAGTATTCTATGTCATAACACTTTAATTATGATATTAGGTTATCTTTTATATTTATGTGTTTCAATTACATGTTATAATATATGTTTAGAATATAGAGCTCATTAATTGGTAGAAATTTTATTTTATATTACTTATAAATTTTATCCAAAAAATTTTGAAACAAATAAAGTAAAAAAGAAGAGGAAACATCAAAAAGCAAGAACTTGAGCAATAAGCAAAAGACTTAACAACCTATTTTGGTCAAAACACTTGACCGAAAAAGGCATTATCCCATCCTCGAAGAAAAAAAATGATCTCTATTTCGGTCAGTGGACTTGACCAAAAAAAGGCAACCCAATATCCCACTCTCAAAGAAAAAAATTGATCTTTAATTTGGTCAAAATGATTAATTTGGTCAAGCACAATAATCAAAATAAGCTTAAAAAAACAAAGAAGGCTCCTTGATCTTTGCCAAAAAATTTAGGGAAAATTTTGAATTTCCCTCTACATACAATTCAGTCAGAATGTATGACCAAACTAATTTCATATTCCTGCTTTACCTTTTGAATTTTTTTGCGGAAAAGCATTTGAAATTTTCACCCTTTTATTTCGGTCAGTATGACTGTCCGAAATAGTCCATGCCTATTTATATATATTATGGCTCACTCTTTTTATTTATTATCAATCTTCTCTACTTCTTCAACTTCAACACTTTTCTTTATCTTTTATTCCTCTTAACTTTAGTTAATTTTCTTTGAATTTTCATTAAATCTTCGTTTCTTCGTCTTTCTTTTTATACTACTTGTTAATCAATACTCATCTTAAATATTTTTCTTCAAGTTTAATTCATATTCTTTAGTTTTTTTCTTTACATTATGTAATACTACTAACTCCTTTCTTTACCATTTCTCTTTGACCTCCATTTTCTTTAATTATCTAAATGATGTAAATTTTTCTTTGCATTTTATTATCTTATATATATGTTTTTGATGTTTGTACTAATGACTTGATTTTTTATTTCTTAAGGTTCCCTAATTTGATGAAAAATGGGGCAGCATTATGGAGGTAATTAACTTCATTACCTTATTTATACTCATATAAATATTTTTTCATTTTTTTTATTTATTTTGCATGCTTTAATTAATATGATTTCATTTGTTATTCTTTTATTTATTTCGCATTCTATTTTTGTAGGATTCTTTTTACAAATGTAAAATAATTTTTATTTGTTTTTATTTTCCTACATATATGCAAATTGAATCATACTTATTAATAAATAATTATACTCATAATTAAAAAACCATAAAAGGTCAAAAAATTAAATAAATAACAATTGTATATAATTCATAATATGAATATCGAATTATTTTAGTATTAAATCTTTTATAATATTTATTATGTATATTACAATTTATTAAATAATTTGATTTTTTTCTTCAAATATGGATATCTATTTCGGTCAAGTTACCCGAAATAGATCGAAAATTTTCCGCCATCATTTTGAATTTCCCCCTACAAATCATTCATTAAATAATTTGGTTTTTTTTATAAAAAATTTGCCAATATATTTCGGTCAAACTACATGACCAAAACACATTGAAAATTTTCCATCAACATTTTCAATTTCCCCCTAAATCTGCCAATATATTTTGTTTAAGCTCCTTGATCGAAATATATTGAATACTTTTATTCAGCTTTTTTTTTCTTCGGTCAAATCACTTAACCTAAAAAATATGCAATAAATTTCCAAAAAAAGAGTAAATCCTATACTATTTCGGTTACTCATTTAACCCAAGATAGGCTGAGGATAAGTTTCTTTGCCATCTTATTTCGGTTAGTTATTTTACCTGAAAAAGTTAGCTCAAATACCAGAAATAATCCTTACCTCTAATTCGGTCAAGCATACTGTCACGCCCCAGAACCCAAATCCGGGGACGTGGCAGACGCCGTGCACTTGTGAGAAGGTCCCACAAATGCACAAGGCTCGGAACTTATCACACCACAATCTGATACCATCAAAATCTGAAGATCAAATTTTATAATTTGCTCTAATATTATAAATCTCCAAATACACTCTAGTTTACAAGATCATGATCTATATCTAAATCTATGCTCAATTTACGAGATGGCTAGCCTTTTAACTCGTCACTTCCAGTGGTTTCCCCGTCCTCGGTTTCGCTTCTTGAAATGGTGGACAAGGAAAACTATGAGATAAACTCAGTAAGTAAAATATGGAGTGCCCCTTATTAAACTTATAGCATGCCAACAAGTGCAATCACAAAAAAACAGATACAGTACGGGAACGAAATAGACGTCTCCTCTATAGGTCACGGCCAGTGTTATAAACCTCCCACTGGCAGGCTACAGAAATTACTAGTGTTTAACCCCCACTAGCAGGATTACAGAAGCGAACCGGTTCTATCAATAACATATCGACATGTGCCGACATGTGCTAGCGTTTAACCCCCACTAGCAGGATCATCAATAACATATCGACATGTGTTAGCATTTAACTCCCACTAGCAGGATTACAGAAACATGACCACATCGAAGACAAAACAGGCTGAAGTTAACAGAAAAACATAATTCACCAATCACTTTCAGATCATCAGGACAATCAATTAAATCTCAAGTAGGCATGCTCAATTTAATGAAAAGTATAAAAATTTCATTTCAAATCAGTCATACTTGTGTAAAACGGGTTTAGTCCCACCACCACTTTAAAGACAAATCAAAACATGCTTTTAAAAACTATACGGGCATTACCATAAATTTACTTACCTCACTCGCATAAACCGAACACTCGATCTCAGTGCTAACTGACAGAACGATTAAGAACCTAATCAAAATATCCAAGAATTAATACCGTACCACGGATTCAAAATTAAAGTCACCATGACTACCCCTTAATCACAATACTATTCCTATCGATCTCCACAAAATCAAATATTTCCAAATTTATTCTTATATTACAAACTAAACATTTAAATCCCCGTTAATTGTTGACCCTCGGTGTGTGAACAGTAATCTGTGAACAATGCCGTGAACAGTAACCACGACGTGAACAGTAACTCCAACTTCCAAAAATTGCCCAAACCACTAGCTAATTCACGGGATTTTCTCTCCAAAAATCACAGCAGTCAATTAACACTCAATCACATAAATCTCACTTCAATTAATACTTAAATCTCATCCTAAAGCTACCGGAAATATCCCCATTTTTCAGCCAAATTCGGACATCACAGGGGCAGCAAATTAATCAAGCTAATTCTACCTTAATCAAGCTTAAAAACAATGGTTTAAGGCTGCCACATACCAGAATCCAGCAAGCAAGGCCGGAGCTACAAGTTGGGGAAGAAGGTCGGCGGAAATGGAAGGAAAATTCTGCAGGGGACTCACGGTTACTCAAAATTAATGGAACCCAACTTAAATCAAAGCTAAAAGGAGGAAATCATGGCTGTTTCTTACCCAAAAATGCCCAAAATTCGCACCCACAACAAGAGCAGCCGGCGGACAGCAGAGGGAAGAGCAGAGCAGATCCGGAAGCTTCCTGCAGGGGGGAGAATTTCTGGGTTCAATTTGTGTTTTAGAGCAAGAAAAGAAGGAGAAATCAAGCTTTCTCACCGGTTTTCTCAAAGGCTGGCTGGGTTTCTTTTTTTTTTTCTTTCGGGCTGCAGCGGGAAGAAGAGCAGAATCGGGTCTGAGGAGGAAGAAGAGAAAGAAAGAAAAAAAAGAAAAAGAAGGAAGCTGATCCTTATCCTAAAATCTTTCCCTCTTTAAGTCCCTTAACTTTTGAAGTTTTAGCTAATAAGCCCCAAAACAGCATTTCCTCACAATTTAGTCCCTAACTCACTTATTTATCGTAGAAAATTTTGGGGTATCACACATATGACCAAAATATTTAATTAAAATATTATTAACTAGTTCAATCAAATTACTTGTCCAAATATGATAGTTATTTAGTGAGTTTTTCAAGTAGATTTT